ATCATGACAAGCCCCAGTATGATTGCAGAATAAATCCAGAATCTCTTCTGCTGAATAATGCTTGGGAATATATGCTGAAGCGAGAGTTTGGGGAGCTAATATCAGCGCATATTCAATTTTTATTGTGCATCTAAAATGGTTCTGACAGAACTTGGCAGAAGAGTACAGGCTGCTCGAGGGCATATCTTAGAAAGCAAAGAATCCCAAGTCAAACAGCAGTCAAACCATGGATTAGATATGCATTACATTTAAAGCTCTGAAAACACTTTTGGTCTTGAGGATAGACCAGTGTCCCAGATATTGTGCAGCTAGCTAGATCATCTCAGTAACAGTTGGAACTAGTTGTGGAAACCAGCTTTCTTCTTTGCATGTAATATCGTATTTTTGAATCAAGTCACTGGTACATCTGGAAATTGATCTGAACTGGGGTATCCTGAAGGCTTTTAGGAGACACAGCAAGGTACATGTAATGCAATGTATGTAGTTTTTTTGTTTGCTTGTTTTTTAACCTGAGGTTGTCCTCAAGAACTATGAGAAGGATTGTGTAAGTTTTCTTGTAATACAAAATAAATTTGGAGTTGATAATACCATAGATTCAAAACGTGAATTACTACCAAAAACTATTGAGAACTTTGACTTTTTTAACTGATTAATCTGACAGCATTAAGAACAAAAGCTCTTGAGGCTTTTAATCTGTGAGATTGTAAAATTAGCTGTTGAAAAAAGACTTATTATGCCAGCAATATTGAAAAATTATTTCATTGTACATTTTGTTTTTCATTCTTATCTGTTTTTATTGGTTAATCATGCATTTTCCATGAAAGTAGGTTCACATCTTTTAATGCATTGCATTACAGTTTTGTTGTGCTCTTCTGTGATTCTCCCTTCTTTCCCCTTCCATGCCCAAGGTACTTCAAGCATTAGCAGGTACTTTTGCCTTTGAGGCAGGTATACAGCACAGAATTCATATAAAGAAGTAATGACGGGAATATAAAATTTCTCGTTTCAGCATTGCTTGCTTCCTCACATGCCTTACCTTGGATGTGTGATTATTTATTTTCCCACTTTCATTTTCAGTCATAGTGATATCCCATTCCCAAAGTTATATATCTACAGCTGCTGTTGACACCAACATTGTGTGGAGGAAACTTGCAGTAGGGACATCATTGCTCTGGTAGCTTTGTGTTCCATTATATTTTAGACAGCCACCTGACTTACTAAGAATGAATTTTGTTTTTACAGCACTGTGATATAAAACAGCATATTTAAAGGTATCTTCCACTTGTAGTCTATCACCGATAAACACTTATGTGAAATTACGGAATTGATGTTACTGTATCTGGAGAGTATATTAATATTTCAAAAAATTACTTATTCAGATAAATAGGAAAGTAAAAGTAAAACTGAAATGTCTTTTCTAGATTGCTCCTCATTTATTAAAAGTGTTCTGCTTCTCTGTGTTTATTACATGCAATCAGTTGGACCTTTCTGCAACTACACCAACAGAGGAAAGAGAAGTCCAAAAGCCATAAGCTAGTTACGTTTGCTCAAATGTAGCCTGTGAAATTGCTATGCACTTGTCACTAATGACAACAGCAAGTGCTACTTTTCAGAACTTCTGTTTTTCTTTTCTAATGTAGTTTAAGTAAATCCACCTGTATATTCTGTTTTTTCCCCAGGTAGGTCAGCAAAGTACAAATTTAAGTTCAAAAGGAAGTGTTCCCTGTAGCAATTTCACTGATCTAATTGTCAAAGAAGCGTTTGTGAGCAATAATGTTGTTGCCAGAGCTGTTCCTGTGTTTGATGCATAGAGAGGCTTTAGCAATAAATAGTGCAATAAATTGTTCATAATATCATGGAAATACTGAGTTATACTAAAAAGGTCTGAATCTCAGCTGGAGCTCTGGTTCAAAAGTGTGAAAATACTCCCTGCCCATTCTTCAGAAGTTGCTAATAAAGATTCCCACAGACATCCACTGATTGAGTCAGACAACTCCTGAAATTTCAAAAAGTGCTTATTCCTTCTTGTAAAACCTACTGAATTCAATGGAAGGACATACACCTCTAAGCTTTCAAAGCTCTCACTAGGTAATTTTTGCAACTGGCAAAGCTTTCAGTATATTTAGCGTTAAAGTTTTCATCTTTTCAGCTTGGTATGTGTGAACAAGAACAAAACCTTTAGAATAGCTTTAGAATGAAGCCTTTATGTAACATACAGATAAATCAGAAATTCAATATTTTTTAAGATGACTTTTTATGAAGTATAATAAAACTAAATCTAATTAAGAATGTGATACTAGAGATGGCCATTTAACAGAGCCATCAGAGGAATAGCTATGTCTTTCTATCTTGCAAGTGCTTATTACCCAGCTGTTTAAAAACTTTCTGAAATGCCAGCATTCTTTACAGTCACTGCAATCACTTTGAAGTGTGGTGCCATAATCCATAGCATCTCAAGTAATGGTGTGTGAAAAAATATTTTGTTATCTAATGGAGATGGGCAATAAGACTTGGTCCTTATTTATGGACCAGTGAGCACCTGAAATGTTCTTGGCTTTTTAAATAGCTAGAAAAGTAAATCCCCTATTTTATTCCCCTATTTTATGCAGTTGTTTACTGGAAAACCAGCTGCATACTGACCAAAAAGGAATATTGTGGAGTAGCTAACACAATTGTTTGGGGATATTAACACAGATCAAGTAGATGTATATGAAAACAGAGCAAAACTTTAATGTGCTCTGTTTTATTGTAGCTCATCAAAAACTCAGATATAAGTGACTGATGTATTTATTTCTGAATTTAAATATGAAACAAGCTTCCCATCTGTGTAAGCATTATCCATTGGGTGCTCAAATCCACCCCTGGATACTGACAGTTATCCTTAAGGATTTTGTAACCCCTGGGGTGTTTACAACAACCTATTTTGATGTCTGACTTTGAAGCCCAGTTCGGATGCCTAACCTTCCCACATGGCTGGAGAGCGGTAGGGATGTGTGATGCTGGTTGCGGCATCATGGAAAGCCATGGTGCTGGTTTGGTTGTGTCAGTGTAGATAAAAATAAGGTTGTGTGAATATTCTGAACTATTCTTTCTAATTACAAGAATAAGATATAAAATACTATTGGAAATGGGGAATTTGGGATGAAAAATGTACTGCCTGTTAATGTTTCTACGCATTCCTGGCCTCTGTGAGGACTATTTCAGAATATATTAAAACAGAAATAGTTCTTTGGCCAGGCAGTCTCGCGGTGCGCTTTAAGCCTCTCCACTTGACACAACGCGAGATTTCCGATTCATCCCTGTTTTGGCACAGCTGTCATGTGGTTAAATGAAAAGTTTTGAAAAGCTATGTATTTTGAAAGCCTAAAATGAAGTGTTGACGTGCTTTCACCAGAACGTATGTTGAGGGAGTTTATTAATCATAGAATCATAGAATGCTTAAGGTTGGAAGGGACCTCTAGAGATCATCTAGTCCAACCCCTCTGCACACACAGGGTCGCCTAAAGCACGTAGCACAGGACTGCATCCAAGCGGGTTTTGAAAATCTCCAGAGAAGGAGCCTCCACAACCTCTCTGGGCAGCCTGTTCCAGTGCTCTGTCACCCTCACTGTGAAGATTTTTTTCCTTAATTTCCTGTGGAACTTTTGGTGCTTCATTTTGCGGCCATTTCCTCTAGTCCTATCAGTGGCCACCACTGAAAAGAGACCAGCACCATCCTCTGCACTGCCTCCCTTGAGGTACTTGTAGACACTGATAATTTGTGTAGACACTGATAAATTGAACAGGACTGGACCAAGGACTGACCCCTGGGGGATCCCGCTAGCTACAGGCCTCCAACTAGACTCTACACCACTGATCA